CCCCAAAACCCCAAAACCCCAAAACCCCAAAACCCCTTTTTTGGGTGATTTTGTTGAAATTTTTATGAGTTTTTAGGGGTATCAAGCCTGGCCCCCACTTTACTCAAGCTACCACCCTAACTTACCCCACTCGTTGCTTCTCACACAGGTCAGTCACAGATTGTAAGATCTCTTCTAGCTCCTTAATCTCAGTCTCATGCTGGCCCTTGCTCTCTTTAGTCTCTGCTGCTTCGAGCTTAGCCTCACAAAGAGTCTTGGAAGTCTGCAGGTTCTTAAGAGACTCGTTTAGGAGTCCAAGGCGGAGCTGGCACATACCGATTTGTTTGTAGGTTGCAGAAAGCAGAGGGCTTTCTAGACCGTATTTCCTCTTGCCTACGGATAAGACGTTACCCCACATGAGAACGGCCCTGGTCATGTTTCCAGCCTGAGTGTACATTATAGCAAGCTGGTAGTAGGTCTGTTCGAGGAATGGGTGGTCTCTCTCGTTTTCAACATATTCTACCTGCATTCGGAGTGTTGAACTGAAGAACATTGTTGCTTTCTCGTAGTCCTTATTAGTACGAGCTGCAATCATCCCATTTATAATGCTCGAAATGAAGAAAAACTGGTTTCCATTGGCACCCTCTCCGTTCAGCTCAAGGCATGTTCCCATCTTGCTAAGAATGAGGGTGACTTCATCATAATTTCCCTTAGTAAAATGAGCAGAAATAGCGCTCATGAAATTGCCAAGAGTGAATATAGATTTTTCGCCATATAACTCAACTGCATTATCGAGGTTCTTAATTGCTAATTTAAATGGCACATCTTTCTTGCTGATCTTCTTTTCAGAATGGACCTCAATAAGGGCTGAATTGACTCTATTGACCCAGATGCTCCCTTTTCCATAATATTTGTTCATTTCTTTCCTTCAAAATCCAAGGAATGCTTCTGCTTTATGGTGATCTTTTTGGTATAGATATACTTCACCAATATCTACAAGGGACAGTAAGAAGTCAATACTCTTTTTGCCTACGACCTCTTCTAGCAGGCTGTTGGCTTCATCGTAAAGTTCATAGGCTTTTTCTAAATTTTTTGAGTTTTGGGACCTCATGTACATATTCCCAGATGCCTGGAGGAACTTTATATAGTACCCGTTCTTCTTATCATCCTTGGTAGCGGCTAGAATATATTTTTCAGCTATATCTCTGTATGTGAGACCCTTTTTGAGGTTATTTTTGAAGGCTTGGATCTCCATGATCTGTATTATTGTCTGACCCAGTCTGATGCTGATGTCCTTACTCATGTCATCATCGTCAATATCGGAATCCTCAGTTGATTCGTCAATGGCGTATTCTTCTTTCACTATATGAGTTTATGTCAGCTCATTGAAAAGTTAGTGTTTAGAAAAAGCAATTACCTTCTTCAGTGATTTCAACAGTTTTGGGGTGAGACTTTTCTTGGTCTTGGTCTTCCTGAGTGCTCTCTTTCTGTTCTTCCACTTCAGTTTTGAATACATCCTCGATTTGGTCTTCTTCATCGACGATTTGGGTGTAGATTTTCCTCTCTATTTGATAAACATCCATTAGAATTTCAAGTGCTTTATCAAACTTTTGAAATTTCCTGAAGTACTTGGCCACAATTTTCCGATGCTCGAGCATCTGTCTCGATTGGGTTGCGTTTCTAAATATTACAAAAAGCTGCTACTCCTTCTCATACAGATCTCTGATGATGAATTCTGCTTTACTGAGGCACTCATATGCTGTTTGGAAGCACAAAGCGTCAAAATACATCTGTGCTTTCCTCTGATATGCTTTATAAGCATAGACATCAATTCCTGCAGGCCTAATGTTATCCATTGATTTGGCGATAATGGATTCGAAGCATTCCACTGCCAAAGGAAACATCCTGCATTTCTGAAGGATCTTTCCATGTTCATAATAGATTTTATATTGCTCTTCAGGACTTGCTTCCTTTACTTTCTCTTGAAATTCAAGATTTTCAGTCATTTCTATAATGCGGAGTTAGTCACATGAAAGCTCTCAAAAGGATCAGAAATTTTGAGATTTAGTTATGTTTTTACAAATCTCTTTGCTAAATTTTTACATAAATATATTTTACTTTCTTTTGTTAATAAAACTCTTGGCTTTATTTAGTCAAAATATATACTACCAATAAGCACATAAAATTTATTGAGAATGGCAGAATTTGGTGTTTTGTCCACAAGACAAAGCATTAAACACTAAAGTCGAAAGCCAGGACTTAGAGAATAATGGTCCTTATACTTACCTTTATTGTGATATGTATAACCTGGGTAGATAACCCTGTCACCTTCCCCTTCCTTCACATAGAACAGGTCCATTGTTATTAATATTATCAATTTTCTGAAATAATTTTGGGGTTTTGGGGTTTTGGGGTTTTGGGGTTTTGGGG